TCAAAATTCCTCTTATCTCCCATAGCAGAGAAAGCATTTAATGAGTTAAAAAGGGGCATAGTGAAAGCAGCTATTATTACATACAGTCATGCATTACCTTTGGTAGTAGAGATAGACACCCTGGAATGTGCCATAGCCACCACTAAGACAAATGGCAAGTCTCATGGACTTTTTCTTCAGAAACCTGTCTAAATCAAAACATAGGCATTCTGCAGCTTATCCTATTGTCAAATCACTGAGAAAATTGAGGAATTATTTTAAACTGATTGCAGACCAAAAAACAGTCTCATTCATATTTAACCTGAAAAGGACAAGTAAAATTAAAAATGAGAAGATAGGCAGGTGACGTAGGGAACTCTTGTGTTACTTGTTTGATGTAATGTACCATCCTGGTAAAGAAAATGTCGCTGTGGATGCCCTCTCTCATGTATGTAGTTGGGCTACTTTCAAAAAGTACATAAAGAGTTGTGCCACCCAGGTGTTACATGGATGGCCTATATGACAAAGATCAAAAACCTTCCCTATTCAGTAGAGGATGTGAAAGAAATTACCAACTCATGTAAGACTTGCACTGCAAATAAACCTAGGTTTTACTGTCCTAAAACTAGCAAGGTTATAAAAGCCATGCAACCATATGAAAGAATTGCACTGGACTTTAAAGGACCACTTCAGTGAAAAACTCCTAACAAATATATGCTGACAATAATTGACGAATATTCACACTTTTTTTTCATGATATCCTGTGTTGATGCATCCTCTACATTGGTCACACAAGCACTTTGCTTAGTTTTTGCCATCTTTGGGTTACTCATATATATTCATTCGGACATAGGGACTTCATTTATGTCTGAACATGTATAGTGATTCCTACAAGAGCAATGAGCCACCATAAGTAGAACAACTCCATATAACCCTCAAAGTAATGGCCAGTGCAAGAGGCATAATGGAATAATTTGGAAAACAGTTCACCTAGTAGCTGCTGATAAAGGGGTAGCTTTAGTGAATTGGGAGCAATTACTCCCAAAGGTCCTGTATGCAATTAGAAAGCTGTTGTGCAGAGCCACTAACACAACCCTACATGAATGATTCTAGCAGAAGTTTGACTGGAGCAACCCTACTATCTTGCCTCTGAAAACTGGGAGTGATATTAGTAAAAAGACACATGCGACTGAATAAGAATGAACTACTGGTGGATTAAGTGGAGCTTCTAGATGCCAAAATCCCATATGTCTGTATCCATTACCCTAATGGATAGGAAGACTTCAGCAGGGAATGAATTAGGACCCACAAGCCTAAGCAAGGGCTGTCCTCAAGACATGTCAACTGACTTTGAAGAAACAGAATCATGGTCTCCTTTTGAAGATTATGAGGAACCCTTGAGCTTTGGTTCCTCAAGTGTTGATGAATGATTTTCACAGAAGAGAGCACACCCACATATTGATATTTCAAAGGTGCACAAACAACTTGTAGAAGATTACAAAAACACAGCAGGATTAAATCCACTTCTAGCGAGAAAGAGGAAGAATCATCATGCTCCTGGCAATCCACCATGGCTTCGTAGACAGTAAAAGATGCCTGCTTGATTTAAGGACTTCTTCCCTCTGTAAGATAAGGCAGGGAGAATGTGATATGATCCATTTCCCCCATTAATGGATCTGTCCTGAAAAAATATATTCAGGAGAACTCTACTGCTATGCAGAGTTCATTAAAGCTTACTGTTAAGCAAATTTGTATTGTCTGAGACAATTCTATGACAAAAGTTATAAAGCAGACACAAAACCCTATGTTGTATCATAATGGTTGTCTGTGGACTAAAAGAAACAACACAGAATTTAACATTGCAATGGATGCATTTGATTCTGCCAAAGCATTCAAGCTGGTCAGGATTTTCTTATTGTGAGGATTAAGATTTCTATTTGACATTAAGATGGTGTAATTCTCCTCCATAAAACATATCCAAAAAATAAAAGAAGTAAAAATAAATGTAATGTGTTATGGTTTAACCCCCACATTATAGCCACAATGTTCAAATGAATATTGAATTTACCTAAATTTAATTCATAAACATTTCAATAATTCTGCAATATTAAAGAAATTTTAACAAAAATAACATGAATATCAGCTATATGATATATCCCATTATAACAATATTATATCGAATAATTATATTACTAATAAAAACAACAACAATACTAGAATTACAAAAAATAAATGCAGCTGCCAAAATAATACGTTCTGTCTCCTAAACAACCAATGTATGGCTAAAAATATTGTATAATGAGCTTGCATACATTCTGATAACATGTTAGAATTTATTTTGGGTCCACTGAAACTCCTTGGAAATTTTGTTTTAATAATCATAAAGTAACTTTTAATAATGTAAGATACACAAATAGCACAGCTCTCTAAGTATTTCTGGCAATTAAAGAATGGTAGTAACATACCTATAATTATGTAGGATATAATAGCTAAAACCAAATCTGATAATGGAAAGGTGAAAGTTGTAATCTATGTCATGTAGAAAAATAAACTATTTTAAAACATTTAAATAACACTAAGTTATTAAAAGAAATGAATTAATGGTCAAATGCAGGCATAAAAATAAATAGCTGTTGAAACATGTTGATCCAGATTAATTCCAATTTTAGATTATAACTTTCTTTTTTCATTTTTTGTTACTTTATTTTTAGTTGATTAAAAATGTTTTTTGTATGATTTTTTTACCCATTAGCTCTGATTAGTTAATTTATACCTATTTATATATATGTCTTGACAATTTCTTTTTAATATCTCTTCATGTCTAATAGTAAATAATTATATTTTATGCATATTAGTCATTACATATTTTCTATGTAATTTGCCATTTATATTATATGAATAGGATGTATACGTATGTGTATAGGGTTTGTTATTTGTCTCATGTTTTTTTGTGGTGTATCTACAATTTATATTTATTCCTTGGATTTATGGGTCACTATAATCATAAGTATATATATATATATATATATAGAGAGAGAGAGAGAGAGAGAAAGACAGAGAGACAGACAGACAGACAGACAGAAGGAAACGCCTACACTTTTGAAAGCCCCACAACAACATTCACAATAAAGAAAAATTTAAACTGCAATTCCAAAAATATGATTTATGCACTCACATGCACAAAATGCAACAAGTCTTACATAGGTATCAGCCAAGCACTAAACAACAGTTTCCCTTCACAAAAGCAATATCAAATTACCAGACAACAGAAAACTATCTTTCACAACATTTCTATAAATGTAATCAAGGTAAATTTAAAATTATGCCAATATATCATTCAGACAATTATTCTTACCTACAAATACAAGAAAAAAACTTCATAGACAAATTTAAACCAGTGTTAAACAGATCATAACCCCATACACGTAGAGCATATATATATATAAACACACTAGTCAGACCACACACACACACACACTTATCTATGAAGATTGAATATATATATACATACTGGCAAAAACAATCACACTAGATGCACCACATACACACACACACACACATGCAAACCCTATACAGCATAGGAAGTGTATATATGTGTATATATATCTATACTAATTCCTTATAAAAAACAATATATATGGAGAAGGAATACTAGCAAAAACACATGCACACACAATACACAAAAATGGTTTTAAAAGAAGTCATAAAAAATATATATATATATATATATATATATATATATATATATATATATATATATATATATATATAATAAAAGGCTTAAACACTAATATTCCATGGTCATAATTTATTCCATTGGAATCGTAAATACGATCCAAATCATCAGACCTACAAATTCAAAATGAAAAACAGAAAAAACAACTCCGGAAATCAAAACAGAATTTAGAGAAAGTGTAAGTATGAGGATGAGTGACAGAGAGATTTTTTTGGAGATGTGGGTGGGGTGGATTTAAAAGAGGAGAGAAAGAAAGTCGACGGATGTCTAATACATAAAGATACATTTCGTGGTGACATATACACACCACAGACAATTCGGATAGGAAGGAAAAAAAAAAAAAAAAAAAAAAAAAAAGGAAAGGGTGGGGGGAGAGGGATGGGACGAAGGAAAATAAAAATGTGTTTACATAAAGGGCCGCTTCGTAATTGGGAAAATTAAATCAAATATAAATATATGAAGATGAATATAACGATTGTCTCATTTCGCAAGGACTATGACGACTATCACTATTATCTTTGGTATTACCATATTATTATTTCTATATTTTATTTACTAAAAGGTTTCTTTAATTATTTATCATTTATTTGTTTTTTAGATTTATTTTTATTTAAATTTTGCTTCATCATTGTTACTCTTTAAATTAATTTAACTCTTAATTAGTGATGATATTTCCCCTTTTTGTCTTTTAAAGGGTTTACTCTTTAAGAACACACACACACACACACACACACACACACACACACACACACACACACACACACGCATATTTATAATTAATTATTATATCCTATTCTTTCATTGTTCCTATATATAATAATAGTATTTAATGGTATAGTATTATGGTTATATATTTAATAATTTATAATAATAATATACTTTACTTTCTTTGTTATTTATTAATTAGTAGTTTTATTCACTTAATTATAATTTATATATTTTTTATTAATTAAACCAACTGTATTTTTAAAGGTTTATTTCTTGTAGATGTTAATAGTTTAGCATATGCTGATATATGTTCTTTTTAATTTAAAATGAAGAACATTAAATGATACATTTCCTAAAATGAAAAGAAATAAATCATTATATGTTTTTTAATCTTTTAATATTTTAGTATATTAATTTCGGAAATTCTTTCTCATTAATATAAATATATAATTATATCTCTTAATTTTGAATTAATAGGAATTTGTTGATATAAGATATTTTTCCTTAATTTTCCACTTTTATTTTACTGATTGAAATCAGGTCTGTATATATGTAGCTATCTCCTTATACCATTACCATGTCTAGTCATTACTACTCCCTATCTACTTTCTCTTTTCCCACCTCCTCCTCTCTCTTACTTGTCTTTTCACTATCCTTTTTACTCTTTCTTTCTCCCCCCCCCGTTTTTCTTTTCTTTACTCCTGCCTGGCTTTTAAAATTGGTCTTAAGCCAGTTTCATTTTGATTTTTCTGGTTAACCAGATGTATTTGAAAATCCTTATAAATTAATTTAAATTTATAAGGTGAAACAATTATCATCAATATCATGGAGTAATCCTATATCCTATCGTTTATAATTTATATGCTCTGTTTGAATAAAACATTGAGCTCTTTCTGTGAATCAGTTTTAATATTCTATATTATATTAATAGGATTCGTTTGTATTATATATCAACTGGATTTCCTATGTATATATATATATATATATATATATATATATATATATATATATATATATATATATATATATGGGGGTGCGTGTAAATATATGTATACTTACATTTTTATTCTTTGTAGTTATTCATATGAAACCATATCTATATATGTATATATATATCCATATTAATTTACTAGTATCAATGTATCCTGGTATTAGTGAGTGTAACTCTTGAATTGCATATTTTTTAAATACTTAGATCTGTATATTTATATTCAAATTTTAATTTCATTTTTGTAAGTAGCAGTAAATGATTTGCATGTATGTGTGTGTGCTTTTTTTTCATGTAAATACTGTATCAAACATGGTGATATAGAATTGTATATTAAATTCTAGTGTTTTATGTACTTGTTGTAAGTGAATCTAGTATTTTTTGTTAGATGGTTACTTACATGTATCCATATATGTATATATATCCATAATAATTTGCATATGTAGATGTACCATGTTATTGGTGTATAACTTTATAATAATTTAATTTTTTTTTAATAATAACTTAAATTGGAATATTTATATTTAAATTATAATTCTACCTTTATAACTTGAAGTAAATAATTTGTGTAGATGTGTGTGTGTGGGGGGGTTTATTTTACATATAAAATTAATAATTTAAAAAAAAAATTTTATATTTTAGTTATGCTTATTTTAAATACAAAATTAAAAAACAACAATCCTTTTATAAAATATGAACTGCTTTATCATTGTGATAACCTAATATATTTACCAAAATTTAAATTATGTAATGGTCAATCTCAATTCAACACCTAAAGATTGTGTTGTACATGAATCTCTGAGTTGTGTTACCGGTGAGGAAAAAAAATATATATTTATTATATTTATGCAATGTTGTATATATATATATATATATATATATATATATATATATATATATATATATATATATATATATATATATGCATGTTAATTCATTAATCAAGTATGACTACTTCCAGCAAATCAAATTAGAAGGGTATTGGAAACAATACAGCACATACAATGAATTTATAGCTGTAAATGACATGTATAAATAAATTGAAGGTATAATGAAAAGGAAATTAAGCATCTGTTACTATTAATAAATCTATAACACAAAAAATAACATGGTAGCAACAGTAATTCATGGACCCTAAGATAAAAGTCTGATACTATTTGTTGTTGCTGTGGTAAAATGGAAGAAAGTTTTGTTAAAACATAAGCAAGTGTTATGTACTGAGACATTGAAAGAAGAAGGAAGAATTGAGGATTTAATTCACACATAAACGACTTGAATTGTATGTCGAGCAGTTTGAAAGATGGAAAAATGACCTAGACCCAAACAATGTTGATTGACACACAGCTGAAAATGCAAGCTGTAAAGCGAAAATTTAATTTTTCGTAAACAACAAATTTGAAGTTGATTTCCCTGGTATAAAGGAAATACCAGGAGGGGGTGAATAAGTCACACACGCTCACTCAGGAGATTTAGTAAGAGAGAGAGTGGAAGAAACGAATTCCCCAAAATTATCAAATTCTTTTACTTCGCCAGTTTGGGTGAATGTCCATAAATATGAATGTGTGAAAAGAATTAGGCAGAAGAGAGAAGAGAGGTAGAAGAGGTGGAGACCGGAGAGAGGCCCATGTGATTATACGTTGACAAAAGCCTCAGCCTTGTGCCAAGCTTTACGAAAGCAGCAAACTAAACTTTGCCAAGTTAACAATGATGGAATCACTTACAATTTAGATGTGGGTTGGGCTGACAATTATTGCATATGAACTCTGATATATTCAATTATTGTACAAAAGACTGCTATAAACAGCATTTACCTTGTGTTCAATTTATTCGAGTGTTATTTTTTCCTGTACATCTTCGCACTGCTTGGGCCAGCCCAACACAAGGATACCTGTGATGATTCTGTCTTGGCCTCTTTGTGATCAAACTTAAATCACAACGTGAGATAGGACATGTCTGAGATCAAAGTGATCTTCATCGATCAGGTGCAGTGTTGGAAGTCTTGGATGTTGTATGATTATGAAAGGAGAAACATTGGACACAGTGGAAAAACAAAAGAAATTAAAAAAAATTGTGCAAATGCGAAGACAAAGGAGGAAGAAACATGGATTTTACTATGACAGTGACTTACCTACATCCTCGGATGCTGGCAATATTATCAAGGATTTCAAAAATTCTAGCAAAAAAGTAGCCTGGAATTTAAAGGTTTTTTAAAGAACACAGTGGATGAAGAGAAAGTCAGCTGTATACTCCTTTGAATGGGATTACCTAGATTGCCTTCAGATGGATGAAGGCAACAGATCTCCCGAGAGACTCTGGCGGCCTTGCCTCCCCACAAGAAGGAGAACAAGAGCCAGTAAAGTGTCAGACGAAAGTGGAAGCACAGAGAGTCGGTAAAGGAGAATTGGGTAGATGTGTAAAACACATACTTCCGCCCTCTTCTTTAAGGAAAGATTCCTCCGAGGCCACAGATTAATTGCGATCTCGGCCTTCCCTTGCACCTCCGACCAATTCATATCCAACTGGAGATCAGGACCGAACCAGATGCCGAGAATCTTGACCGGCCCATCTTTCCAGAGGAAAGGTCCGGGAAGAGAAACTCCCTTCCACGCACCCAACCGCAAGCCAACAGACTTATCGCGGTTGATCTTGGCCCCTGTCACCACTGATTTCTTTGTTGACTTCGTTAATCTCGGCCCTGATCGACACAAGAAACGAAACGTCATCAGCATAGGCGGAATACCTGGGCGCGTTGGTAGCGCCAGGTAGGGAAATTCCGCGCAGGACCGGATTCGCCTTTAACTTGCGAAGGAATGGTTCCAACGCAAGAACGTAAAGCGAGAGCGGACAACGTTGACGAATGGAGCGAGACAATACGAAAGGCTTCGATCGTACTCCATTCACTTCCACCAGCGCAACGGGGGTCGCATACAGAAGCCGGATCCAGGTGCGAATGTACGGCCCGAAACCGGCCGCCGAAAGGACAGCCTCCAAAAACCGATGGTCAACCCTACTGAAGGCCTTGGACTGATCTAAATTGATCAGCGCGGCTTCACAGTCAACTTGCTCGATGATCAAGCGTACCATATGAAGGTTGTCCTGAATAGTCCTACCCTTCACAGCACAAGTCTTTTCGGAGTCAATCAGACTAGAGAGGATAGCCTGCAAGCGGTTCGTTAAGACCTTGGCCAAAATCTCTAACTCTGTGTTCAACATAGTTAAAGGGCGAAAGTTACCTAACCCATCCCCACCGTTTTTATCCTTACGTAACAACTTGATTGCGCCCCTGGTGAAGCGTTGGGGTATAGACCCCTGCTTCAGCCAGTTGCCGAAAATCAGTGCCAGCAAGGGAACAAAAACGGGGACTGCCTCAAGTACACTTCGTACGGAAGACCATCTAATCCCGGAGATTTGTCCAGGCCAACCTGACTCAGCGCTTCCCAGATTTCCGACTCTATTATGGGATCCTCGCACCTAGCCGCTTCAGCTGCCTCGAGGCAGGGAAAGTCGGCTAAATAGGCGTCGAACTGAGCTTGGGCTCCCTGGTGAAAAGTTCCTGAAAGTACCCACGAAAAGCCTCACATATGCCTTCGTTTGTAACGGTCTTTGTGTGTTGTGAGGGAACCCACAGATGTCTTAAAAGGCTCTATACATAAGATTGTTATGGCAACATAACTTGGCTTGTCTTACCTATTTCTTTGCCTAAGAAATTAATTAGATATTTAGAAAACATCTTTTCTTTAAGCAAAGGTTTCTACTAGTATTCTGGAAGTGTTCATCAAGTTTTTATGTTTTATATATACATAATTTTTGAAACATTAAAAGTTCTGTTATAAATGAGAAACACTGGTACATAGCAATATGTAACTGTTAATCTTCATGAGTTGCTCCCCTTGGATACTCTCTTACCTAGGAAGGGACGGGCTTATCCAGAAGTTCTGAGTAGCTATTATTATAGAGGGCACACGTGGAGAACAAAGTAGTTTGAATAAAGTATTCTCTTTCCATCATGTGTCTGAGTTCCTTTAATTTAAATTTACAGTAAGGTTTCATAATTTTAGAGTTGAAATGGCTAGATGTATGTTCTATGCTAACAGTTTCTTCTATCACACTTCTTGTTTGTCAAACTCTTTCATCTTCTTACTTCCCAATCAACTTTAATCTTCAAAATTTTAGATGCAATGTCAAGTGTTATATTCTATCATCTTAATTCTTCTTCTTTTATTTTTCTCACTCCTTAGTAATATATTTTCTTTATATTCTCTAACATTCAGTAACCTCTTGTGTCATAGTAGTTTTATTGCTTGCTTGGGATTAAATAATAAAAAAGTAAATAGGGTATACAGCTGAAACTTTCCATGGGCTTAAGAAACAATAATTCTTCAGGCAACAGTTAACTAGTTTTTACTGAGATTGGAGATAGTTCTTGGTTAATGTTCTTAAGAACAACAACAAGGATTTTCTGAACTATTAATCTTCATAGAATCAAGTTTGGAAAATTCATGAGTCAAAATAGTGATATCACAAAACTAGTGCTCCCTTTTTAAAGTAGGGTAGAAGATGGCTTAGATAGATAGTAAAGACAAAGGACATGCTATGAATGACAGCTGCATGAAAACATATGAATAGGAAATCAGGGTTCTCATTTTTGTGGCCTCTACCATAGGAAACCTACCTTTGATATAATCCCATGGCCATGTCATTTTAATGGGTTTTCTTTTGTGAGTAAAGGCTGT